CTTTAAGAGTGTGCTCCTAATCTCAGCTCGTTACCTGTATAAAAGACACCTGGGAGCCAGAAATCTTTCTGATTGAGAGGGGGTCAAATACTTATTTCCCTCATTAAAATGCAAATCAATTATTAACATTTTTGACATGCGTTTTTCTGGATTTTCACTGGATTCTGTATCTCACTGTTCAAATAAACCTACCATTAAAATTATAGACTGATCATTTCTTTGTCAGTGGGAAAACGTACAAAGTCAGCAGGGGATAAAATACTTTTTTCCCTCACTGTAGGTAGAGGGTAATTTGGAAAATAGCATGTGTGCTTACACTGATATCAACGAACGACTATGAACTGAATAAACTAACAGTTAAACTGTGGGCATATGCGTTGACATGCCAGCCTCAGTCTGTCTGGGAAATGTCCTGCTGCCTCCCATCCATCCCCTCTGGTCCTGCTGCCTCCCATCCATCCACTCTCCCCTCTGGTCCTGCTGCCTCCCAGCCATCCCCTCTCCCCTCTGGTCCTGCTGCCTCCCAGCCATCCCCTCTCCCCTCTGGTCCTGCTGCCTCCCATCCATCCCATCTGGTCCTGCTGCCTCCCATCCATCCACTCTCCCCTCTGGTCCTGCTGCCTCCCAGCCATCCCCTCTCCCCTCTGGTCTTGCTGCCTCCCAGCCATCCCCTCTCCCCTCTGGTCCTGCTGCCTCCCATCCATCCCATTTGGTCCTGCTGCCTCCCATCCATCCACTCTCCCCTCTGGTCCTGCTGCCTCCCAGCCATCCCCTCTCCCCTCTGGTCCTGCTGCCTCCCATCCATCCACTCTCCCCTCTGGTCCTGCTGCCTCCCAGCCATCCCCTCTCCCCTCTGGTCCTGCTGCCTCCCATCCATCCACTCTCCCCTCTGGTCCTGCTGCCTCCCAGCCATCCCCTCTCCCCTCTGGTCCTGCTGCCTCCCATCCATCCCATCTGGTCCTGCTGCCTCCCATCCATCCCATCTGGTCCTGCTGCCTCCCATCCATCCACTCTCCCCTCTGGTCCTGCTGCCTCCCATCCATCCACTCTGGTCCTGCTGCCTCCCAGCCATCCACTCTCCCCTCTGGTCCTGCTGCCTCCCAGCCATCCCCTCTCCCCTCTGGTCCTGCTGCTTCCCAGCCATCCACTCTCCCCTCTGGTCCTGCTGCCTCCCAGCCATCCACTCTCCCCTCTGGTCCTGCTGCCTCCTAGCCAACCACTATCTCCTCTGGTCCTGCTGCATCCCAGTCATCCCCTCTAGGGTTGCTCTGCTCTGCTTTGGGGAGGAATGACATAATGGCCATCTGTAACAGGCCTGCCTGGGATTGAAAGCTCAGCACGACACAGCCTCCCCAACACTCATGTCTCTCTCTCTATCTCTGCTGCCTAGTAAAGCGCTCCCCTGGGACTGCGCTCGCTCTCTCTCTTTTTCTAGCACTAACTCTCTCTCTCTCTCTTCAGTGATCTTTCTTTCTTTCTTTCTGTCTGTCTTTCTTTTTTTCTTTTTCTTTTTTAGGGGTTCACAGCAAAGCTGTGTTATTCTTAGATATATTTTTTTCATTGACATGGTCAAATAACTCAAGCATAGATTGGTAACTTTTTTGTAATCCGTTTGATCTAGAGACTTGAAACGTTGTATGTAGGTGACTTTCCTCATGCTGAACAAATTTGTCCATCAAGTTCATCAGGATAGATTTGCCTCCATCTCTGACATTTTGGAAAACCTTTGAAACCTTTTGTTATTAACAAATCAAAAGTCCATTTAAACCACTCCACAGTGGCCTATCAACTTGAAACTTGTCAATGCTATCATGGACATCCCTAAGATGAACCACACTGAATTTGGTATCTAAAAAAAACAAGGAAACTATTCAAAACAAGTTCTTTGCATATGTAATGCTAATGCTCAAAATCATCTGCAGTAATCTTCTGCTCATGAACCATATGCCAGATTCACTCCAGATTTTGTATTTATAGTTATTACATCAGTCTTGAATGGTTTTGAGAGAAAATTGTTGCTGCATTCAAATATGGCCACTGTGTACCTATAGATGCAGGTTAGCACATATGCTAATGATAAAAATACTTAAAACATTGAGTCTCATGAACCATAAGTCAGATTGTCTCCAGATTTGGTATATAGACTCAATTAATTATCTTCCAATGAATCTGAGAATGATTAGTTGCTGCTTTCAAAGTCGGACACGGTACGTCACTAGATGGCACAATATCACACCAGGGCAATAAGAACTGAACCGATAGACATGGGGCCATGAAATTGGTATGTAAACCTTATGTATTTGTCCTTAGACGCTGTGTGAATATAATGTCACTGCAACCTTAGATGGCTGCACCAGACCAGTTGGTGGCACTATAGATGTCATTGGCACCAGTGGCACCATAGTATACTAGAGCAATAACTATCGATCAAGTGGACTTTGTCTCAAATGCAAATTAAATGTTAGATTTAAATTATGCAGCAAACAATGTGAAATATCGTGATTAGTATATCTGTAAAATCACATATTTTTGCCATACTATGTGGTCTGACCCTTGTGAAAAGTGGATATTTTATTCTGGAAAATTAGAAACCTGAAGTCCTGCCGCTTGCGCAGTCAGTGTACGACAGCTGTGAGAGTGTACTGAAGTATTTTGGAATGCTAATGTGAAGTGTTATCCAACTGATCTTGTGGAGTGTTATCCAACTGATCTTGTGGAGTGTTATCCAACTAATCTTGTGGAGTGTTATCTAACTGATCTTGTGGAGTGTTATCTAACTGATCTTGTGGAGTGTTATCCAACTGATCTTGTGGAGTGTTATCCAACTGATCTTGTGGAGTGTTATCTAACTGATCTTGTGGAGTGTTATCTAACTGATCTTGTGGAGTGTTATCTAACTGATCTTACATTTACATTTTAGTCATTTAGCAGACGCTCTTATCCAGAGCGACTTACAGTTAGTGAGTGCATACATTTGTCATACTACACCATTTAAATAAACATTTATACATAGGCTTAGCGCCCAACCACTTACTTGTGGAGTGTTATCTAACTGATCCTGTGGAGTGTTATCCAACTGATCTTGTGGAGTGTTATCTAACTGATCTTGTGTCCTTTCTGTCATCCTGTGAACCCCGTTCATTGCTGCTCACAGCTATATTTTTATTTATTCTTTCTTTCTCTCTGACCAAAAATTTAACAGAACTCTAGTCAGAGACAAATTAAACCCTCCCTCTGCACCAACTGGCTTGACTTTCTCGTGGCAATATATTATAGTGTTCCTCATCCCAGAGACACAGTCACACTTGTTTCATGGTATAAAGAGGCCACGAGAGCTGCAATGCTTTTTCCATTGATGGATGTAGAGCATTAGCAGAGCAACACAAGAGCCCTAATGGCACCTGGGAGATTCCCAGTGGCACTTCCTAATGGCTAGAGTTGGTAAAAGCCACAGTGGCCCATCATTCACGTCTGGTACATATCTGGTTTGATGAGGAGTGGTTATGGCTCCTATCTTCCATTTGTTATAAGCAGCCTGAGTGTGTATAGTACAGTATGTTGAGACAGTGGGACCTGTTCAGTGTGGGAGTGAAACATCAGATGTATTGGACCAGACAGACAGCAAGCAGTGGTGTTGATTAGCCCGGTCTTGCATGAGCAGTCCGCTGAACAGCACATACAGCCATCTTTCCGAATGAAAGATCTCTTTCTCTCTAAGATCCCTTGTTGTCTCCCTGCTCTCTCTCTCTCACACAGACATCCGCAGGACATGTAATGAATGGCTTCCCTGCTCTGATTGGGTGATGTATGGTGTTATTGGGCAGGATGAATACCACATAACTCAAAATATATGAGAATGAGAGAGAGAGAGAGAGAGAGGAGAGAGAGAGAGAGAGAGAGAGAATAGGGAGTGATAAAGAGAAAAAGACAGAAAGCAAGGAAGGGAAGTAGAGAAAGAGGGAGAGAGATTAGAGGGAGAGAGGGGGAAAGAGGGAGTGTTGTAGATACACGTTGTAAATATGGGAGTCTCTGTCACATTTTTACAGACCTTATGGGAAATAGCCCTTCAAATCACACACCCGCATAGTGAGTACACACACACGCACACACACACACACACACACACAAACACTTAGAGAGAGACCATCCCGGGTCCTTCATCAGGATCTGTGTATCGATCGGGATCCTGCGCTGGTCCTCAATGTGAAGAAAAAAGGCGAGTGAATGGCACAGCGCCCTGCCTGCCTGGCTCTCAGGGGAGGCTGAGAGAGGAGAGGGCAGAGTAGGAGGAGGTTATAGGCATGGGAAGGTTGTTGGAGCGAAAGTGAGGAAGGTTGTTGGAGTGAACCGGACCAGACTCAGTGGCTGCATGCCTCCGAGCTGCAAGGATTCGTTATCTGTCTGTTTCTTAAATTAACACAATGTAGACGGCAGGGACCCTGCTCATGAAACATTAATTTATTTTATTCCTCCTACTTCTCGTCCTCCTCTTCTCTTGCCCATCACAAATAAATGTGTGATGCTGATGTATCTTTTATGGAGCAGAAGACAGACTCGCTCTCTCTCACTTTACTTAATCCTCCAATGACCCAAAACGTTGCTTAAAATACCAATGGCAATGATAATGGGAGAGAGAGATAAGGTGCTGGCAAGTTCTAAAAGCTAGCCATTAGCCACTGTTCATGACATCAGTTTGTCTATTTTTGTCATTAACTGTTATTCAACTATTATTCATCATTATTAGATAATGTTGCAAATATGTATTGCATTGACAAATAAATAATTTGTTTAACCTTCTAAAAGCCAAATGTAGTTGTGTGTTGTTAACTCAGACTATTACAAGTATTTCCTGCCTTCCTAACTAACAATCTCCTATTAACCCATTCTATTCAACTCCAAGTTCCTCTCAACCCTAAATATCTATTACATTACTATTCCACCTGTCCCTGTCCATGTGCCCTGTCTAATAAAGCTGTGTGCTGACTGTTTCCTCTGCAGAGCCCCAGTTGAAAGGCATCGTTACCAGGCTGTACAGTCAGCACGGATACTACCTGCAGATGCAGCCGGATGGCACCATGGACGGCACAAGGGACGAAGGCAGCTCCTTCTGTAAGTGTGTGTGTGTGTGTGTGTGTGTGTGTATGTGTTTGTGTGTGTGTGTGTGTGTGTGTGTCTGTGTGTGGTGTATGGTGTCTATGTGTGTGTGTGTGTGTTTTGGCACATGGCCTGCCAGTCTGGCTAGTAGCCAGGTATTGTATACTTCTGTCAGTGTCTGGTCACTGGCACCAGTTGATTGCTCATTCAACAACCGCTGATCAGGCTATTGGTCTGTGGCTGAGGTACTGGAGCCTATGCTTTTCCAGTATAGGTGGATACTAGATACTGGTATACTGAGCCTACTGAAATAACTACACCTATACGCAACACACAACTCAATCACCATTAACACCAATTCAGATCAGGTCATGGCAACAGAACACAAAACGACACTAAACACACAATTTGAAACACTGAAGTATTCAGTGTTATACACAATGCATGACAAGCCTAACATGACAAGGTGCAAAAAACTCCCTCATCCATGAAATCCTTCATATAGTGACGTCATGTGAAGAGAAGAGAGAGGGAGAAGTGGAGAAATAGAGAGAGAGATGGAGCAATAGAGCAATAAAGAAATAGAGAAAGAGAGATGGAAGGGAGAGAATTGATCAGAAAGAGGGAGAAGGAAGGGGGAGAGAGAGGGATGTGTGTGTGTGTGTGTGTGTGTGTGTGTGTGTGTGTGTGTGTGTGTGTGTGTGTGGTGTGTGTGTGTGTGGTGTGAGATGACTGGGCCTGTCCTCAGCTCTCCTCCTCTGGCCCAGCTGTCTGTCTGTGTGAGGAGCAGAGAGGAGCATGTGGAACAGATTGACTGCTCTTTGATTGGGCTGGAGGTTGTCAGAGGGTTTGGTGCAGGGTGACTATGACACTACAGAGTGATGAATAGGAAAGAGAGTTGACAGCAGCATGGTGAGGGAGAGAATGGGGAGTGCACATCGGAGACTTATAGATATGCCTACTTTCTTGACATATGATGGCATCATTGTAAAATAATAAATAAATAACCACTTGAGATCCTCAAGTACCACTCACTTTGCAGGTTCATTGTTTAATTGAATTGTTTATTGACTTCTAATATGGATTGGATGTATGTATTGACTTTCAATATTAATCTTATTTGATTCCCAAAAGCACCTTTGGAAACTGTCAACAGTGAAAATACACAAGGTATTTGACAAAGATCTTATTCAAATATATTTAGAGATTGGGAAAGCCAGATGCCCCCTCACATACAGCAAGGTCTGCAAATAAACAGACTACACAATCACATGTTGACAAAGACGTTGTGCTTCTTATTGCAACGGGTATAGGTTTCAGAATGGATGTGGATTTGATAATGATATTTAGTTGGCACATTTAAAGTCTATGGAATAAATAATTGTTTTTTTACTTCTCTCATCTCTACTTTCTCTTTTCCACCCGATCTGTCTTCTACTTTCTCCACTCTGTTGTCCTGTACTGATGGTTGCATTGGTTTCTATGTAGAAGAGCTCAGTAACACACCTGAAACCCGGCACACCCCAGAGAGAGTGAGAAGAGACAGGAGAGATAGAGGATGGACTTGTCCTTTCTCTTCCTTCCTCCCGTCTCTGCCCCTTCCATCTATTTCTGTCATCTTTTTGTCACTCCATCCTCTCTGTGGTTCACGCTCTCTTTCATCTCAGTGACATTCTCCCTTGTTTTCTCCCACTATCTCTCTCATATGCTTTCATTCTCTTCCTTTGTGTTTCACCAGTCCTCTTAGCCGTCTTTAGTGAGGTGTTGCACCCAGAGTAGAGCAAGAGTATGACAAACCTGAGGTGACGTGATGATAGCACCTCACTCCATCACCACTCCATATCTCGCTCATGTCACCCTGGCTTAGGCTCAGTGAGGTTGTGACCTTTGTGCCTGGTAGGTTATTCAGAGGTGACACAGCAGCCATATTACTTCCTATAGAAGACAGCCTGGGAAGCTCTTGTTTGCTGCTCTCTGGATTGGTCTAATGTCAGTCTGATGTTCTAATGTTTCTCTCTCCTCCCTCTTTCTGTCTCTCTGCAGCACAGTTCAACTTGATTCCTGTGGGTCTGAGGATCGTGGCGATCCAGGGGGCGAAGACAGGGCTCTACTTGGGCATGAACAGCGAGGGGTACCTCTACACCTCTGTGAGTCCACATGCTCAACAATACATAAACCAGTAGCAACATTGGACAATATGTCTTTTATAGTTATGTTTCTGAGTAAACCTGGGGGAAATGACTGTGTGGCAATAGGCCAGCGCCAGCAATAGAGAAGTGCATTGAAGCTTTGATTCTCTAAATGACAGTTATAATGACCATGCAACGGCTGGAACAGCCATATCAAGAGTGGACTGCTGTTGCTAAATCTCCTCAATTATGATCTGTTGTTGCTGTCTGTGGTGCTGAAATGGACTTCAATCTGGAGTTGCACATCCTGTTCCATGGGCTTTGATTCGGCGGTGCAGTTCAGCCACTTAGAAATATATATATATATTTTTTTTTTGGCCTGCAGGCATACATTTGCGTTGAATCTGCAATGTACAATTTTGTGGGGGTTGAGGACAGTGTGCAGCTATAGTACAGTGTCTGCACTGAGGATGTACTGTTCAGTGTTGAGTCTCTTTACCGAGCTGAGGTAATGGGGTGTAAGCTCTGTGTGTGATTAAGGATGGAAGGTTACTGTGCCCTGAGCGTCTAGATTGCCACACAACATAAAAACAGCAGAATAACAACAAGGGATTAGCCACTGTGTGACCAATTACCTACACTGTGTTTGGTGCTACAGTAAAGGACATAGAGTAATAGCATTACAGAGTGGTGGAACATTCACTCACTCTCACTGTGTGTGTGTGTGTGCACCCGTGAGCGTGCGTGTGCATGTCACAGCATGCATTTTTTAAATCACAGCGATACTTCATACATAAAGTCTGTCAGCATACAGTGCATATAGGGCTGACGCATGAACGTTTGGAGAGTCACGGAGAACAATCATTTATTAGTCGTTGGAGCATTGGTGTAAGGTTGTAGCAGCTACACCACTGTGTGTGTGTGTGTGTGTGTGTGTGTGTGTGTGAGAGAGTGTGAGAGTGTGAGAGAGAGAGAGAGAGAGAGAGAGAGAGAGAGAGAGAGGAGAGAGAGAGAGAGAGAGAGAGAGAGAGAGAGAGAGAGAGAGAGAATATCCCTGAGCTGAAGATTAGCATTCTGCAATGAGAAGGCTTTTGTCTCTTGCCTCTGTGTGAACAGAGAAGAGAAAGGGATTTTCTCCACAGAAGTCAATAGGAGTATAGGGTTCAAAGGGAACACATTCAAAACCCTCAGTAACTCACAGAGGCCTTCTATGGCTCTGTACATCCCTGCAAGCAGACAGACAGAGTTTCTTCCCTTGGAATAGATAACCACAAACACAAAGAGAGAGACAGATGTCTATTTAACCTTGACATGTCTGATGTGTCTGGGTGTCTTTTATACAAGTAGTGTTTTCATGCAACTGTTTCATGAGTGTGTAATGTTATGCTGATGATGTGTAACCTTGTGTGTGTGGTGTGTGTTACAGTCACACACTGGTAAGCTGTTGTTTGTGAGTGTGGATGCATGTATTCTGTTGAGTGACTGTGTGCATGCGTGTGAGCATGTCTGTGTGTGTGTGTAACAGTTGGAGGGGGGGGGGGGGGGGGGGGTACATGACAGTGCAGACAAATGTTCTCACCGGTGACAAACAAGTTCATCACTGTCACTCAGAGAGGCTGAGGTGAGTGACAACAAGAGACACAGAGGACACTGCCATTGGGGAAAACCTCTGCAGGGCTCTCTCTCACTCTTTCTCTATCCTCTCTCTCTCTCTCTCATCTCCTGCTCTCTCTCTCATCTCTCCTCTCTCCTGCTCTCTCTCTCTCTCTCTCTCTCTCCTCGCTCTCTCTCGCCTCTCTCTCTCCTCTCTCTCTCTGACTTTGATTCTTTGTCCTCCTCTTTTCAAGTCGGCTGTGCATTGCAGTAAAACCTGATCAGCCAGCTTTGTCAGGCTAGTGAAGTGCACAGAGCCCAGGAGGGCAGTAAGGAGCTAATGACAAGGGGGAACTCCGTGTCACAGCTCTGTTGTCTCTGCCATGAGCCTCAGCCTAAGCTAGCCTATACCTGTAGGAGACTCCAGGAAAATGGCTTCCTTCCTAGTAAAAATAGTGCTCAGCTCTGTCCTGACCCATTTTATCATCTGTGTTCTCTGGAAAACCCTCCTGGGCCATGAGAGGGGGGAGATGTGTGAGAGAAGGGGGCCGATTGTGTGTGTGTGTGTGTGTGTGTGTGTGTGTGCATGCTCGTGTGTGTGCAAAAGTTAGTGAGTGAGAGAAAGACAGATAGTATGGTGGGTGGGAAGTGGCACAATTGAGAGACTAGATTTCACAGATGCAGTTTTAATGCATGCCAATCAGGCCTCTGAAATGAACCGCAATGATTGCATATTTAATGGGTGTGTTGATGGATGTATGCATACCTTGAATTATAATGTCTTTGATGTAATATATGTTCAGTGCTTTTGTGTATTTGTGTAGTGGTTGATGTGTGTGTGGGCAGGTTTTACACATGTGGTTGTGTATATTTGAGTGAATAATTGTGTTTGTGTATGGTGTCTTTGCTTGTATGAGTAATTGTTATTGTCTGTGTTTAATTGGTTGTGAGGTTATACATATAAATCACTGTAATATGTATGTGGTGCTGTATGTGTGTGTGTGTGTGTTTGTCTGTGTGCATGCATCTGTGTGTGTGTGTGTGTGTGTGTGTGTGATGTGTGGTGTGGGTGTGGTGTGGTGTGTGAGAGTGAGGAGTGAGTGGAAAGTGAGTGAGAGAGTGAGTGAGGACGTGGAGTGGCGTGAGTGAGTGGATGTGAGTGAGTGAGTGAGTGAGTGAGGTGAGTGAGTGAGAGAGAGAGAGAGAGAGAGAGAGAGAGAGAGAGAGAGAGAGAGAGACCTTTCCTGATGAATGGCTGGGTAGTCCATTCTCCACCTGTGAGGGTTGCATTGAGATGCAGGACAACACAGCCGGCCAGATAGCATCACCTTCATCACAATGGGGGAGAGAGAACAGGAGAGATCTGGAAAACAGGAAAGGGGAAGAAGAGAAGAGTAATGGGGCAAAACGGCAGGGATAGAGAAAGAAGGGATGCGGTAGAGAGAAATGGAATGGAATGATACAAGGGAGATAAGTTGCCAGCCAGGCAGTTAAGTGCACTTAGGGGAAGTAATACTGTGTGCAGGCAGGGTTCCTTCTTTCTACTCATTTATCATTAGCCCAGCACCAAGGCTCTCTGCTAAGATGGTACTAATAAGTAAGAGATGTAGACTTGGTTGCAGCACCAGTGACTGTTGTTGTAGTCTTTCCAGCCATCCAGCATGAGATAGTGTGTACATCTCTGTATGTGTATTGGGTGTGTTGTGAACAAAGAGCTTTGTTTTGACAGATGTATCACGGCTGTGTAATTTACCTGAGCCTACGAGAAAGACCACTGCTGATCTAATGACACACAGAGACATCACAAGTACACTATCTCCCTCCATTCTCTCTCTCCTATGAAAGGGATATTGAAAGGGGGATGACAAATTGAGGTATGAAGGGATGAGAGGTGGATGGTTGGTCACCTCTGTTGCTCCCCTGCATGTGAATCACATCAACAGAGACTGTCAATCAACCGAGAGATGAGTGTACAGTAGGCAGTAGACTCCACTACACATCCCCTAGCCCCAACTCACTCTGCTCCTAGCTATCACTCACACAATATGACATCATACCAGGCTGTGGCATCATAAACCATAGAGAAGGGCCATGTAGTTATGGTGACAGAGGACCATCTGCATGGCTCACATGCTGACTACACAGGCCACGCGCGTGCGTTTGCCATCGCTTGCATGTTGATTTTGTCCATCCACACCAGACGCGATCTGGGCACGCAGGTTAAAATACCAAAATCAACTGTGAATCACCTATATTAATTTTGGGGAAGGTCGAAACACACATGAAACATTCATGGATATTTAGCTAGCTTGTCCTGGGAGATGAACATTGGGTTGTTATTTTACCTGACATGCATATGGTCCTCTTTTTAGCTGGTTCTTTGTAGATTTTTGACCCGGAGTCATACAAAATGATTAATCCACAGATAAAAAGGGAAACCTAGTTTGTTTTTAGTTATTTATCTTTAATTCATCTCTCCTCATTTGTCTTTCAAGCATCCACGTGGGTTTGTATCTTCCTGATAACCAATTAGGAGGGGACTTGCAGCATGTGGCACATCTCAAATAGAAACAAGCTCTATTTTAGCGCTGGCTACGCAGACGCTCGTTCATGCGCGCGAGTGGTGTGGGTGAAATGATTGAACAACATGTATGTGTAAATGTATTTTGCAACGCTCGTGCATGCAACGTGACCCCTGTTAACCCCTCTCTTTAAGGGCCATGAAAATAATTTGCCCCCTTTCTTATTTTATTTATTTTTGCGTATTTTTGATACTGAATGTTATCAGATCTTCAACCAAAACCTAATATTAGATAAAGGGAACCTGAGTTTAAAAACAACTAAAAAATATATATAAATATATTTTTTTATATATTAACTAAGTTATGCAACACCCAATTCCTCTGTGTGAAAAAGTAATTGCCCCCTTACACTCAATAACTGGTTGTGCCACCTTTAGCTGCAATGACTGCAACCAAATGCCTCCTGTAGTTGTTGATCAGTCTCTCACATCACTGTGGAGGAATTTTGGCCCACTCTTGCATGCAGAACTGCTTTACCTCAGCGACATTAGTGGGTTTTCAAGCAGGAACTGCTCGTTTCAAGTCCTGCCACAACATCTCAATTGAGATTAGGTCTGGACTTTGACTAGGCCATTCCAAAACTTCTAAATTGTTGCTTTTTAACCATTTTCATGTAGACTTGATTCTGTGTTTTGGATCATTGTCTTGCTGCATGACCCAGCTGCGCTTCAGCTTCATCTTACAGACGGATGGCCTGACATTCTCCTGTAGAATGATTTGATACAGAGCAGAATTCATGGTTCCTTCTATTAAGGCAAGTCGTCCCGGTCCTGAGGCAGCAAAGCATCCCCAAACCATCACACTACCACCACCATGCTTGGTCTTTGGTATGAGGTTCTTAATGTGGAATGCAGGGTTTGGTTTTCGCCAGACATAATGGGATCCATCTCATCACAAATGTTGACTCAAAAGTTTCCCAAAAAACACCTGGAAGCACCTGGATGATCATCAAGACTTGGAAGAATGTTCTATGGACAGATGAGTCAAAAGTTACACTTTTTGGATGATATGGGTCCCATTATGCCTGGCGAAAACCAAACACTGCAGTTCTGCATAGAGCAGTGGGCCAAAATTCCTCCACAGCGACGTGAGAAACTGATCAACAACTACAGGAATCTTTTGGTTGGAGTCATTGCAGCTAAAGGTGGCACAACCAGTTATTGAGCATAAAGGGGCAATTACTATTTCACACAGGGGCATTGGGTGTTGCATACATTTGTTTATGAAATAAATGAAATAAGTATATAGGTTTTGGTTGAAGATTTGATAACATTCAGTATCAAAAATATGCAAAAGTAGAGAAAATTAGAAAGGGGGCAAATACTTTTTCACAGCACTGTATGCCTTCTTAACTTATGTAATGGGCCATGGCACAGAACATCTGCACCTGGTTCTAAAAACATTAACAACGTGTGCTGGTGTCCCCCGCCTCTGCACACTCCGAAACACACATACAACCCGACACACACACACACACACACAGAGGAAATACCCAATAGGAGCGTCAGTGAAAGTTTTGAGGGGGGTTGCTGCTACAGCGTTAATGCAGCACCATGGAAATATGGTGTGATTACTGCAGCTAGGCAGATTTCACAGCACCTCCTAGATTACCCGGGACTGCTGGGGATGGTCAACAGACCCAGGCAGGGCTGCCTAATGTGTCATTACGACCCCTGCTGGCAATAGAGAGCACTACACCAAGGAAACAGGACCTCGGTCTCACAATGAGCCCAACACATACTGTATTTTACTCTCCCATCATATTTACTAAGCATTTGCACTAGTGCAAGAGGTGATTTACTTATCAGAGAAGAACAGACAAAGCAGAGGTGGCAGGAAGTGATAAAGATTACATTTTGTCATGTGAAAGAAGGAGGTTTGAAAGTGAGAATCTCAGTCTTCTGCCCTCTCTCCCCACCACCTTCTCAAAGCCCATGGGAGGAGAAGGTCAGAGAGGCGGGACCTCTGGCTTTCTCATCCAATGGGTTTTGAGAAGGAGGCGAGGAGAGAGGAATATGCCATTGAGATTCTCCTTATGAATCTGCATGAATAGCCCTGACTGCATGAATGGCTGATGGGTGAGGAAGAGGTACCAGTTACACCAATGTTTCTGAAAGGTTGTGTAAACATTGTTGAGTTTAGCTAGTAGCTAACTGGTGTGCTAGCCCCTGGCCTGAGTCCTTGGACTGACTAGTGGAGAGGAGAGCCACGTAGCGAAATGTATGGTGGCGCTAGGAGTTAAGCTTCCTGGAGCAGGTAGAATAGATGTAATCAGACACTGAGGGAGGAGGAGGAGGAGGAGGAGAAAGGAGTGGGGGAGGAGGGGTGAGGAGAAGGTCAGGACACTGCTCTGCATGATAAAGAGGTTCTTCCCGTCCTCAGGATTCTCTGCACGGACACTGGATATTACCTCTCTCGCCAGCTTTCATTAGAATTCATTCTGGCTGCAGATGCAGGGAAAGGAGGCTGCCCGAGTCAGTCAATAAGTCACCAGTGAAGGATGAGATTTTTATTTCATTTTATATAAGCATTCATCTTTAAATGAAAATGTCCCCCCTTCTACGCTTAAAAAGGATGACCCTCCCTATCATGTTCCACACACACTCAGCAATTGTTTACTCCACTGGTGGTTCTAAAGGTGGACTCAAATGTAGGGGCTAATATTCAGTGGAAGTTCAAAGGTCACTTTGTGGGTGGGGGGGGGGGGGGGGGGGGGGTGTTCTTCCATTCTACAGAGATAGATAGTAGATTACCTGAGTCCTTGAGGCTGACTCATGGATTAAAGGCATGGTAATTACAGAAGCTAGGTTGTGTGAGATTAGTTATAGCAGCCATGGTAGCTGAGTTGGATGTTATCAGGATGATTAGTTCAGGGGTTTAGCGGTGGGTTATGATGAGGGTACTTCCTCTCTGCTGACGTCTTTCCAGGAAACATCAGGAGACATCCTGCTAACATATGCTGTTAGATAGACGTCATAATGAGGATGTGAGTTATAATTTGGCTCATTCCACAGGATCTATTGAGGATTATATGTGGATTATCGTCAGGGTCATTTCAGAAGTCAACTGGTGGGTTTTCGTGAGGGTATAATTTCAGAGAGCAAGTTGTGTTATCATGAGGGTCATTTCAGAATAGAAGGTTATCTAGGTCTTAGTAATGGGTTATCTAGAACAATTTCAAGAAATTGTACAGAATTATATAGAGCCATTATTGAATGGAACTCCCTTCCATCTCATATTGCTCAAATGAACAGCAGTCCTGGTTTCAAAAAACAGATACAGCAACACCTCACGGCACAACGCCTCTCCCATATTTGACCTAGATATTTTGTGTGTATGTATTGATGTGTAGGCTATGTGTGCCGTTTTTAAATGTATGTAGTTCTGTCCTTGAGCTGTTCTTGTCTATTAATGTTCTGTATTATGTAATGTTTCCTGTTCTGTGTAGACCACAGGAAGAGTATCTGTGGCTTTCGCAACAGCTAATGGGGATCCTAATAAAATACCAAAAACCCTCTCTATTCCTCTCTCCCTCTCCAGCCTGATTAATAATGAATGAAGCAGATCATCTATCAATCTCCTGTGTGTGTGAAAGAACAGCTTAAGATATCAAACCTGACAGAAGACCTATAAATAACTCTGTTATCTGGAGGGCTGGGGGTGGAATTTACCTATAGAGGGTGGCTCAGGTGGTCCGGAGGCACGATAGAGAACACAGGTCGGGTGGTCCGGAGGTACGATGGAGAAAACGGGTTGAGGGAAACTGAGAAAGGCTATGAGAGCGTGGCGGAGCGAGGTGGAGGTATGGTACCACGTGGAGATGCAGCATGTGATTGACTTTCCCAGACATGCACAGCACCTTGAAGGTGAGAGGTGATGATCTGTGAGCGTGTGACCATGGAGCTCCTTCATCCCTAACGAGTCCACTACTGACTCCTTAATGCCCCTCTTATTGCCGACTCGTCCTCCTCCAGTCCTCCACCAGAGAAAGTCTCCAGTCAGCTGTTTCTGCCCTGCTGCTCTCACTAAATAAATCGTGAAGATTGGGTTTGCTTTCTGACAGGGGAAGGAGGCTGACGGTGACTAAGAGAGATGTATACCTGTCGCTAGTGGTTACAATCACCAGGCAACATTATGCAGGGTTTAGTGGTCCTTATGTTAGTGCTGGAGGTAGGGGGGTTAAACACTGATGTGGGGACTGGGGAGATGTTCTAAAAGCCAATAACTGGGTTCTAATGTCGAGTTTCCATCTGAGATTTACCCCAGTGTTTTACCCAAAAGGCTCAGACTTTTCTGTTTCCATCTACCATGGCCGGCACCCGTGTCTCACTGGGCCATGGCTTCGGCGGACCTGCTCTAACTTGGAGACACCTTCTCACAAAGCAACAGTAGTTGTTGATTCTGCTCGCCCCAAGTTTCTGGTCGCCCCAAGGAAACACCATAACACTAGAGCTAACATTAACATAAGACACTGGGGACACACTGGTGTGGGGTAAGTCTTAGGTGGAGGTGCAACATAACTGTTGGATAAGCTCCAGCTTTGGAGGGGGTGGGTGCTGCTATGTGCATTCACTTTCAGCGAGTATTAGAGTGTGTGAGTGCTCTGTATTTAATTTTGAATTTGAAGGTTGAAAGGGACTTCCATCTGAACCATTTATTCCGCCTCCGTGCTTTCATGTATTTCCAAAATAACTGCATGTGTGTTTTTGTGTGTGTATTTATTGATTTGCATACTATGTGCGTGTATTTGTAGGTATGTGTCAATCTTTTGTTTATGTGGGAGAGTTTCCCAGTGGTTTCTTTCTTCCACTGTACCTTAGAGGGCTGTGTTAAGTTTATACCACCCCTTCCATTCCCTTTAGACACAGCTCTCTTAATGAATATGTTTTTCACTGAGCGTGTGTGTGCCTACAGTATGTGTGAGCACATACTATGCATACATTGGAATGTCTGTTTGTGTTTCTGGGTTGGCTTAATGGGTATAGTAGTTCCTCTCATGATGTTTGTTTTGTTTGTTCTCTTTAGGAACACTTCACTCCAGAGTGTAAGTTCAAGGAGAGTGTGTTTGAGAACTACTACGTGACCTACTCCTCCATGCTCTACCGCCAGAGCCAGTCGGGCCGCTCCTGGTATATCGGTATCAACCGCGACGGACAGGTTATGAAGGGCAACCGGGTGAAGAAGACCAAAGGAGCCGCACACTTCCTGCCTAAAGTTATAGAAGGTTGGTCACGTGCCCTCCTGTCCAAGCTGGGCTGAATTTTTGAGAGGAACAAATAAGACAGGGCTATATCAGAAACGTATTAAGTTATCATAGACGTCGCATTAGGCTTATGTTCACCACTGGACACTCTTCAACTGTTTCTCTCTTCTGCTCCACAGTTGCCATGTATAAGGAACCATCGCTACACGAGCTAGTCAACGAACAGAAAGAAAAAGACAAGGAAAAAGAGAAAGAAAAAGAGAAAGAAAGAGATAAAGACAGCCCTTCCCGGAAGACAGTGAAGATGTCAGAAGAACATCACGAAATAACATTCTCCATCAAGAACTGCAGGAAAGAGAAAAAAGCCCCCAAGGCTGACGCCTCGTAGCATAGGGGACCTAGGGGAGGGGAGGAGCAGCAGTGACACTGAGAACTCAATGGGGACTCAATCACCGATCATGCACTTGGGCTGGCTGGAGGATTGGCCCTCATAGGCCCCCTTTACCAGAAGTGCACTGGGCTGCACCATGCTGAAGGGTCAGGGGTCAACAGCTCACCAGTTCTGGTTCTGGGAGGGATTCCTCTCACCTGTCACCAGAAAGAGAGATGGACCAGGGCCCGAGTAAGCATCACCACCCTTCCTTCTTGTCAATCACCTCTATCCCTCCTCCTCTATTACACTCACTACCAAAAGCACAGCCTGTGTCATATCTCTGTAATTGATCTACTGCCCTCCATCACCTGTCTCAATTTTCAGAAATCACCTGCCCTCGCCCACACACAGTAATTTCTAATCAGTGTATTTGATGTATGTGCGTGCGATTGTGTGTGTGTATGTTTGAGAAAAAGTGTGTAACACTAATCACTTTATGTAATGGCAATCACCATCTGCCCACCTGCAAATCAAACACTCCACAGCTGGACGTGGGCCATCAAAATTATGTTTTATTGGACAACATCAGGGGGATCTATTGATATTTGATAGTAGGGCTGTCTGTTGAACTGCAGTCAGCCAATCAATTTCAAAAAGGCCAAATTTTCTGGTGAAAGAGAAAAGTCAAGCAAGCTCTTTTGGGATCAGAGATATTTACAGGCTACAGGCTAACTTTTTCAGTGAGCAGCCTTTTCTATCTCACTCTTTCATAGTCCATTTCTCCTTTGATCAATCACAATGAGGAAGGTAATGGAGGGAACTGAAGAAGTTTATAATATTAAATCATGAGGATGATGGAAAGGATGATAATGAGGACAATGATAATGATGATGATAATGATGATGACAATTATGATGGTTACGGTGATTATGGTGATAATAATGATTCAACTACTGTATATCTTTGCAATAAGCTCACAGACAAAATAAGGAGACAGACATTTCAGGGTATTCCAATATCTGAAGCTGATAGCCATTTGCTCTTCGGGAGCCATGAAAGCACCAAGTCCAAATGACTATTAGAACCCTGACTGGTACATGACTGCCATGTGTGGCCCACATAACAGTAGCCTGACTGGTACATGACTGCCATGTGTGGCCCACATAACAGTAGCCTGACTGGTACATGACTGCCATGTGTGGCCCACATAACAGTAGCCTGACTGGTACATGACTACCATGTGTGGCCCACATAACAGTAGCCTGACTGGTACATGACTGCCATGTGTGGCCCACATAACAGTAGCCTGACTGGTACATGACTGCCATGTGTGGCCCACATAACAGTAGCCTGACTGGTACATGACTGCCATGTGTGGCCCACATAACAGTAGCCTGACTGGTACATGACTGCCATGTGTGGCCCACATAACAGTAGCCTGACTGGTACATGACTGCCATGTGTGGCCCACATAACAGTAGCCTGACTGGTACATGACTGCCATGTGTGGCCCACATAACAGTAGCCTGACTGGTACATGACTGCCATGTGTGGCCCACATAACAGTAGCCTGACTGGTACATGACTGCCATGTGTGGCCCACATAACAGTAGCCTGACTGGTACATGACTGCCACGTGTGGCCCACATAACAGTAGCCTGACTGGTACATGACTGCCATGTGTGGCCCACATAACAGTAGCCTGACTGGTACATGACTGCCATGTGTGGCCCACATAACAGTAGCCTGACAGAGATGATTTCAGATTGGGCTCAGCAGGCTGACTCTGAGCATGTGACAGAGTGATGGAGCTAAATGCCCTCTATCCCCAAAATGAGGCTATATTGTTATGACGCAACTCTTTGAAGGTTCTTTCCAGGGGATTTTATGGAATACAGCCATAATTGCTTAAATTATTAGCTTAAATTTATGTAAAATGTTTTAACATGGTTTGTACAGGTTTGAGTCTCCGTCAGAGCTGGGCTGTGTTAAAAAAGAAGCAGTCAGCATTTTATACAAGTGAGTGAGATAGTGACAGTGGTTATGAATGTTCATGCTTAAAAAACTCCCAATTGCCAGTCTCCCTAACTCACCTTGTGGTGCTCATAATTCACTAAACTATTTCAGATAAGGATTGGACCTAAAGAAGTGTTACTGCTAGATCTGATTAAATTCTCTGTCACCTGAAAGATAGTGCTAGTGACCGCTGAGTGTATCCTTTGCTTGGCAACTGTTGTCGACATAAAGCAGAGTTTAAAGCTAACATCAAAGCCTGAGGAGGCTCTGAGCTGGAGCACACAGATATATGAGACTTTCTGATAGTCTGGATGAGTTTTTATAAGACACAGCTGGAGCACCTACTTGCTATTCTAAAGACATCTCACTGCTTATCCACTCACCAGAGTTATCAAATCACCACAGAGGAATCTACTCGCAAATATGGATGTCTTTGTGTGCGTGGCTGTTTGTGATTGTGTTCTTCTCCCAGTGTATGGATGTTTGTGGGAATATGTGAGTTTATTTCGGGAGTGCATAGTGTGTGTGTCCGTGTTTGTGCAAGTGTGTGTTTCTATGTGTTGAGTGGGAGGTGACTTCTACAATGTCCTTCATACTGGACAAGTGGCACTGTGAGGGGTGTCTTAGTGATGTCCTTCTCTGAGGAGATTACATTTGGGTGACAAGTGGCCACCTTTCAAACACAGCACTGCCACTGCATTGTTATTGGCCTGAGAGTGCTGCAGATAGCAATGGGCAATAACATCTGAAACAAATCATGGACATAACAGTACAACATATACAGGAACATCCTGGTGTACAGAAGGCTGCTTTTCTAAGCATGGGGATGTGTGCAGTAAAATGCCCAAAGGCATTGATGCGTAGCTTGTTCCTGCCATGGCGGCTGTGCTGTCAGAGTGAGATAGCAGGGGTGCTCTGTGTGACCAGCTCCTGTCCTGTCTAGTGGGTCACTGAGAGGGGATGGCAACACAAGTGAGCTTGTAGTCCCTTAGAGAGCTCCGCTATAAGAAAAACACAATAGCAGTGGACTACTTGTAAATATGTTACACAACATTACAGAAGATGAGGAAACAACACAGAGAGGGAGAATACATAATGAGAATGTTACATGTTCCCAGAATGTGGGAAGGATGTTTTTGGCATGTTATTGAGGATGAGAGTATGTCTGAGATGGTCTAGAGAATGTTCTAAGAGGGTATGAGTATGTAGGCAGTTGTTGAGATACAGTCATGTTTTAAATTATCAAGCCTGTTTTTGGGGATGTAGATTATCTGAGAAGATTTTTTGGTTAGACTTAATATTAGGGAATGAGGGTTCCTTGCTGAGTTCTAATGTATGAGGAGGAAACGTCACTAGTTCTGAGATAGAATGTAAGGCAGAGAAAGTTAGCAAGTTCTGAGAAAGAATGTGAGGCAGAGAAGGTTTACTATGAGAAAGAGGAAGTCAATGAGAGTCAAATTAAGTTCAATAGTTTTGAAATAGAATGTGAGGCAGAGAAAGAGGAAGTCACTTAGTATCAAAGGAATTTCAATAGTTCTGAGATAGAATGTGAGGCAGAGAAAGTTCTAAGAAATAATGTGAGGCAGATAAAGTTCTGAGATAGAATGTGAGACAGAGAAAGTGCACTAGTTCTGAGAAAGAAAGTAAGACAAAGGAAGTTCAATTGTTCTGAGATAGAATGTGAGGCAGATAAAGTTTACTATCAGAAAGAGGAAGTCAATGAGAGTCAAAGAAAGTTAAATCGTTTTTAAATACAATGTGAGGCAGAAAAAGTTAACACGTTTTGTGATAGAAAGTGAAGCAGAGAAAGAGGAAGTCACTTAGAGCCAAAGGAAGTTAAATAGTTCTGAGATAGAATGTGATGCAGAGAAAGTTCACTAGTTCTGAAAAAGAATGTTGGACAGAGAAAGTTCTAAGAAATAATGTGAGGCAGAGAAAGTTCTGAGATAGAATGTAAGGCAAAGAAAGTTCACTATTTCTGAGAAAGAATGTGAAACAGAGGTTCACTAGTTCTGAAATAGAATGTAAGGCAGAGAAAGTTCACTAGTTCTGAGAAAGAATGTGAGGCAGAGAAAGTTATGAGATAGAATGTGAGGCAGAGAAAGTTCACTAGTTCTGAGAAAGAATGTGAGGCAGAGAAAGTTATGAGATAGAATGTGAGGCAGAGAAAGTTCACTAGTTCTGAGAAAGAATGTGAGGCAGAGAATGTTATGAGATAGAATGTGAGGCAGAGAAAGTTTACTAGTTCTGAGAAACAATGTGAGGCAGAGAAAGTTCACTAGTTTTGAGGTAGAATGTGAGACAAAGTGGTTCACTAGTTCTGGAATAGAATGTGAGGCAAAGTTCACTAGTTGAATGTGAGGCAGTGAAAGTTCACTAGTTCTGATATTAAAAGTTATATTAAATGTGAAGCAGGACTCTTTGGTTCTGATATTGAGAGTACGCCAGAGAGATCTTTACCTGGTTGAGGGAGAAATAATGTATTGGCTATCATAAAGTAAGGCAAAGAGAGCTCTTTTCTTAATTAGAGCAGAATTTAAGGCAGAGCAGGTCCCACGAGGGGAGGGGGAGGGGTAGTGATGTTGAGAATACAAAGACGGAAGTGGTTCACACACGCCCGCTCATGTCCGCTTTGAAGTCACATTCCATTTCCTGCCCAATCTCCCCAAACAGTGTCCTATATGTCTACTGCCCATTAACCTTCCCTCTACACACTGTGTGCTTGTATGTGTGTGTGCGTTCGTTTGCACATGTGTGTCTGTGTGGGTGTGTGAAAGAGTGACTGAGTGAGTGTAATGACCTACCTGTATGAGTGTGTGAGTGTGTGAGAGAGAAAAAGGAGAGAAAGAGAGAGGGGGAAAGAAAGAAAGAAAGAAAGAAAGAAAGAAAGAAAGAAAAAGAAAGAAAGAAAGAAAGAAAGAAAGAAAGAAAGAAAGAAAGAAAGAAAGAAAGAAAGAAAGAAAGAAAGAAAGAAAGAAAGAAAGAAAGAAAGAAAGAAA